ATAATATAATATAATATAATATAACATAAATAATATAATATATATCATATAAAGGTAATCTGAATACAGATGGCGCCCTGTATATTTTCTTTTACTTGAGGGGAAAAAGATTAACTCCCACTTTACAACTAACAAATGATAATCAAGGTAATGTATAATAATCATCATAATTCGCGTTACCTGTTATCTTTATTTCACAAACAAGTTTTTTTTTCCGTTAAAATCAATTATCTGTAATCGAATATCTTTTCAGTCTTCATAATGCATTGTTAACCAGAATGTTAATTGTGTCAACAGTGATGAATAGTTTTAACTTACTTTTAAGACAACATTGTTTTGCCTTATGTTATATTTATTGATTGAAATACCTTCATATCTATGTTTTTATTTTATTTTTTTGCAGGCATATTAATGTGGAACTGATGTGCAGGGGGACATTAGTCCACTGTTTGATACTGGCAGAAATATATTTTATTGTAAAACAAGAAAAAAAAAAACAATAACGTTGAACTTTTGGCTGTTGTAATTCAGACCCCAGCTGTCACTGAACTACCAGATAGACAGCTTTAATGCAGTTGGCAATGGGATAGGAAATTGACTGCATTCCATTGTGATCAAAGTGGAAAATATGTAAATAAGTCTGAAAGTTTCCTTGACTGGATAATTTTTGAATTCATTTGCACCGATTTTACCAAACAAAGGTGACAATAATATTCAATTTAAATGTTAAAACATCATTATATGTAAAGACAACGCTTCTATTCATTATTCTTTATTGTTATCTTTGACTTAAACGATTTTTTTAATATACACAGCTATGCCCTAAAAAAGGCGCAACTAGCGGGGGCCTGTTTCCATTTTAAGCGCAACCAAAGAGGCACAATGGGTTCAATCCTCTGTTCTGATTGGCCAAGTCATGGTCAAATTTGTCTCAGCCCAAACAAACAGACCTGGGAATCTCTTGTTCACCTAAAGCTGAAACTACTCCTCTATCATGCATTAGAAACCTTAATTGGCTGTAAAACAATAACCGCCCACTTAACAAAAAAAGGAAAACATGCATATGTCTGAGGAGCTCGCTGATTTTGCTTCATTTTGCAGCAGCTTTTCAAGTTGTCACCTTTTACGGACTTGTCTCGACACTCTGCGCTGCACGCATCGGCGGGATCCGTGGAAGATGAGCTCTCCGAGGAGAGGCGGCTGTCCTCCTCCTCCCTGCTCGGGGCGCACGGTGCAGGAACAGGCGCCTCCTCGTTAACCTCCCCGCGATCCGGCTCAGCAGAGATGGACTGCGGCTGGGGGGGCTGGCCTTCAAAGCGGCTGGCTCGCTGCAGACTGAAGTGATTCATGTCGGGCTGAACATCGTGGTAGAGCCTGGAGGACGCATATGTCTGAGACAGACGGAAGTAGCCCGGGACTGGGACGGTGCTACCGGGGCAGGAGGTGGTGGAGTAGGATGTGTCTTCAGCTGTCGCTCCTTTAGGCATTTTTTCTGACTCATAAAGGCAGCAGGCGCTCTCCTCCTTTATGCTCGGCGAGAAGGAACACTGAGCCAAGTGCTGGCCGCTGCAGGGCTGATCCACCCGGCAGGACCTGGACGTTTCCAGCCACGGTTCCATCCCCTGAACATACGGAACCGAGGACGGGATCATACTTTGGGTCGTTGGCTCGCTGCGCTTCCCGACGGCTGGGAAACAGGAGCCATATGAATATTCCGAGGCTGCTGGCAAATAAAGCCCGCTGCTTTGGTAATAAGGAGCGCCGTCGGTTCTCACGTTGATTAAGGAGTCCACAAAGAAAGAGTTTCCAGCCTGGTTGTGGGAACATGACATCGTCGCGCTGTTATGTGGCGGCGGATGAAGATGGCCTTCTCTGGCTGACATTTCTTGTGCAAAAACATTGCTGAATAATTACTGATACTCACGCTTCTCACTGAAGTCTGCAGCCAATTAAAACACCAGCCGACTGCAGACTCCTCCCAGACAGAGCAGCCAACTCTAATATGTCGTATATTTTCTTTCAGACCAAGTAAAGAAAAAACTCTTATAAAAAGGTGCTGCATTTTAGCCCCGTTTTGTTAAAAAAGGAAAACGTCGAATTTACTTGGGGATAATTTCCCGAGAACTGCGATCCCTCCAGCGGCCTCACTTTAACAAGTTAGTTGCTGAGAGCTGTCCCCAGCAACTGTGCGCATTGTCGTTTTACAATCGCTTTTACAGCACAGTAAAAATGAAGGGTTGGAGAGATGCCTGTAGGAAATAAAAGAGGAAAGATACAAAAAAAAAAAGAAAAAACTCCTATGGAGGAAGGACTCTACCTTTGTAGCTCTGAACATCATTGTTGGACTTCACTTTTAAACCCTGCACCATCAAAGCCTGCAGTGGATTCCATCCGGTTATACTGTTGCACATACCAAAGCAAAGCCAGTTGTGGGATGAAGCGTAGCTGTAACATTGTGGGTTAAAATGCCTTGATGGTGTCAATAGCCCACAACTTTCACTGCACACTGGATGTGTAACCACCAGAGCGAAACAATACCCTGGAGGAACATTTATTTGGCTCAGATTAGATGGAAGAAGGGCTGGTACATCAATATATATATGTATATATATATATATATATATATATATATATATATATATATATATATATATATATATATATATGCAAATAACGTTCAATTTATGTTACACGTTATTTGTCTTTGGTTACATGTGTGCGTAAAAGTGCGATGGAAGCCAAATTCCAAAAAATCGTCTCTATGTTGAGTGGGGAAATATTCTTTCAATTAGTTATGATTTTTTTTATTGTTTTTTCTCTTGATGGTTAATGGATGAATTATTTTATCTATTTATTAATTAACTAATTCCAAGAGCATTCAATCATGTGCTATTAAAACAAAGCAAAACATCAATTTTCCATATACACCTCATTTATTTGGTTGTGCTTTTTATCCAGAAATGACTTTGAGATTAAATTGATGAGTTGATTTGGGATTTGTTCAGATTAACCCTGTTTTTATTCCTTTATTTATGTACACGTTTTCTCATTTTATTTATTTATGGATTTATGTTTCTATCGTTTTATACTGAGTAGTTTGGGATGGGTTTTTTAAAGGATGATGTGTTATTTATTGGAGCTAACATTCATTTCACGGCTCCTCTTGTTCAGAATGTTTCCCAGTGTAGAATATATAGTTTGTGGATAACTTTAAAATAATTAAAGCTGAAGGTTTTCCGGGATGCTTCAGAGAGAGACAAAGGGCCCCAAAATACATACTTTTTTTTTTTTTTTTTTTTTTTTTTTTAGGCGGGGGGCACTTAGCTGAGACAGTGTTTAAAACAGGCCTGCAGATTTAGTGCGAGCCAGAAACGTCTCTGAAGATGGGATTTGCCCTACTCCACCGCGGTCACGTCTATCTCCCCCCACAGCCTGGAGCCGTAAAGTCTAGAAATAAGAGCTGCAGTTTTATATGGCGTCAGACCTGCTGCAGTCAAACAGCGATGAAGGAAAATATCCATTAACCCTGGAGGATTATTTCCTGTCATGTTTCTGTATGCTCCTTTTTTTTTATTATCATCCCCTTATATCATTACTCTCATAAAACACACAGTTTCATAGGCAAAGATTTTATTCTTTTAAGTTTGTAAGGAGTTGTTAGAAAGTGCATGAAAAATACCACCCGGGTGGCTGAATGCGCACAACAAGCGGCTCCAAAGAAACTAAGTTTTAAATTTTTTGCCTGTTAGAAAACAAGTCAATCTCAATACACGTTTTATTTATGTCCAAATCTAGTTGAAGCGTTAACCTCATATGTGACCCTTATTCAAATAAACATATATTACAAATTATTTGTTAGTTGCATCCCAGCAATTCCTCTTTGAATTATAGATTACAACAAACGCCTTTAGATTTGTGACTCTCACATGTACATAATCTGGATTAACTCAAGTTTAAACCACCATGCAGAAGTTAATATGTCCTAAATGAAAACACATGATGATATTCCTGGGCCTACCTTCATCAAATCCTTAGATGGTAAGATATTCTAAAAAAAAAAAAAAAAAAACACCTGAAGGGCTGCAGTCCCAACTTCTTTTCTATGATCTCTATTCACGGCAATGACATTGATCTGAGGAGCGCCACCCAGTGGGCTGAGACGGAACCACCTCATAAGAACAATAAGAGCGGGAAGCGCAGAGGATACCAATCCCACCATGCAGCGGTGAGATGCTGCAACAAATGATGAAGGAAAAGTCCAAGAAGACACCTTTCAATGGTTTTTTTTTTCAGCCCCCTCCTTTAAAGTCCCGGTTAATAACCTTGGTCTCAGACGCTTTATGGCACTGCACTCCAAATGGTCCAGACGAAGCCGCCCTTTTATGGCCAAGTTGCTGGAGCAACTAGGAGGATGTGCAGCAATCAAAGCGGAATTCCTGAGAGCCCAACAGGATGCGCGATGTAGTAAGGAAGCCTCCATGCAGGACCCCTATTACATTATGACAGGCCATTCGGGTTGTTTTCAGGGGCCCGGTGGTCCAAATAAAGCTGTCTTCGTGAACTTATAGGTTAAACACATCATGCTTGAATTAAATAAATTTACTTTTCCATCTGAGTTTTTGGACTTTTATTTCGTTTGTAAAAAACTAAACGAATAAATAAGAAAATTTAAATTACTCCTGTTATCCGCTGGTGTGTTTGTTGGATGGTGATCTGGTTTGTAAAGCCTTGTAACGTGTTTGTTTCGAGGAGCTGGTTAGAAAGCTGCTAAAAACATGGTCTAAGAAATTTTAGAAAAACATTTTCAAAGCATGTGCTAAAGTGTTTAAATATTGGAAATTATCAATAGACCTAAATCATTTGATTCTACAAATCACAAGATTCTACCAAAAATTGAATTATAAGTGATTTTTTTCTTAAAATAAATGCATTTTTTCTTGGGTTGATGAAGTAAGTGAGACACTTTCACAATGGAGCAAGACGATTTACATTTAAAATAAGAAAAAAGCAATTGCATTGTCTTATTTCAAGTGCATTTAATCTAATTATCTTATTTTAGAGTAAAAATACTCATTCCATTGTCAAATCCTCCTATTTACCTACTCATATTAAGGGTGAATAGATTTAATTTAAGAAATCTTTACTTATTTCTAGATTTTTTTTATTATTATTATTTATTTATTTATTTATTTATTTTTTTGCAGTGTAGCAGCAGTTATTGATTCAAGGCTATTTAGGCTATGAGCATATTTAAACAAAATTATGTTTAAGGTGAAGCATGTGTGGGCTTATCTGCATCAAACTAACATGCATGCCAAACAAAACATCAGTATTTCCCCTCCCTAACAAATGAATGGATTCTTTGTAACAAACTAAATGCAGCGACTCTTATTTCACTATCAGATAACAGCTCTTTCAAGCATGACGCTTTCCACAGATTGTGTGTGCTGGGTCATAAAAACAGATCAGATTATGTTAAATTAGATGTTGTCCTTATTCACCAGTTTGTCCATTTTGTGGGGAATCTAAAAAAAAAAAAAGTATAATCCATGTTTACAGCTAAAACTTTGAGGGTTAAAGATGTTTAAAGACATTGGTGGGAAGAAAAGAAAAAAAAAACATTAAACCCGCCAGCTGATTTCCGTCAACAATAACGCAGACTCCAAAACATAAGCTACATAAGGGTTTCAGGTTACCACGGGCAGAAAATAAAATTATGGCGGAGGGGCCATGACGGCAAGCGCTTTCTTTGAAAAACTTTTAAAATCTGTTCGTGTTTTTAGGGGAAAAAAACACGAAAACAATTATTTATATATTTTTTTAATTATATATAGAATTTGTGTTTAAGGGGGGGAAAAGGGAATAAAATTGAAGACATTGAATGCTATCAGTATCTGGAAACTTTTTTTATTTAGAAAATTAAGTACAGTTTTCTGGGTTTGATCTTTCTGTGCCTGCTTAACCTTAAAAACAGGAAGAAAGGAATAACAATAATAATGATAATAATAATAATTAAACACAGCTCAGGGTTAATTGTATATTTTTAGGAGATTTTTAAAATAATAGAGATATTTAACAATGAAAAAAAGTCATTTTTTTCTCTCTCTTTTGGAGTGAAGGCGCTCATCAGCAGTCTTTGTTCGTTTCTCCGTTTTCAGAGCAGAGGGTTTGTGCTGTAGTATTGTAAACGGTCTCTGTTCAGTTTCTTCTCCTTCATTCTCCTGTTTTGAAACCAGATTTTCACCTGACGGTCCGTCAGGTTAAGCATCCGGGAGAGCTGCAGGCGCTTCTCCTTGTTGATGTAGACGCTGAAGAAGAACTCCCTCTCCAGCTCCCTGATCTGATACTTGGTGTACGGACACCTCTTTTTGCGCGTCCTCTGGCCACCTGCAAAATAGAATAAACATGGATTAGACCTGAATGTTTTTTACAGATGCAGTTCAACGATGTGAAATCACAAGGCTGCTTCTTTCACCATAATTCCCGGTCATGGTGGTCCTGCAACACACAGGCTTTGGAGTTCAAGTGCCCCCTCCTGTTCTCAGGCCCGCAGGAGCGACTTGTGTACATAAAGACTATGACTCAGAGTAAAGCATTTGGGTTTTCGGAAGTATTGAAACCATTTTCAAATCCTTTAAAACCTCATATTTACATAGCATCGGAGTTTTCTGTTGGTCAAACAGATGTATTATCTCTTCTGTAGAACTGAAACTGTTTCAGCTTTTTTTTTTTTGAGCGAAAATTCAATCCATCAAAGCTTGTTTTGACAAAAAAAAGATCATGTGCATTAGTTTAATTTCATATTTTATTAAAAAAAAACACTATAAATAAAACTTCAACAAATAAATAAATTAATCAAGCATTTTATGCGTTGAACTGATGCAATTCAGTCCTTGCAGGCTATTAGAAAAGCAATTTATCAAATTAATTTGAGTCTATTATTTTTAATTCTAAAATATCATATCAGAGTTTTTATGATACAAATACAATTAATTTTCTGTTAACAACAAGAAAAATAACATGCCACAGCACGTGCATTGGTGACAAGAGGAATCTTGTTTAAATTCGTAAGGCAAACTTTACGCAAATGTCTTCACGGCCAATTTCAATCCCAAGCACGTGATGCTGTAGTTTATAACAGTTTTGTTACCGAGCCCTCCATAAACCTCGCGTGCTTATAAAACTGCATATAAAAAAGCTTTAAGAGCAGCAGCGTTAGACTTTTTTCCTCTCCTCACTCACTGGTGCAGCTCCTGCTCTGCTTCTCCTCGCTGTGGCTGGATGGTGACTCCGGGCTGCAGCTCTCCCCCGTGTCCGAAGCCGGGTGATTGTGAGTCGGGCTCGTTTTGCCACCTCTCTCTGGGTCCGCCGCCGCGCCAGCGCCGCCGTCCGCGCTCCCGTACGCCGTGTCGAAGAACTGATCGAAAGCTTGAGGCAGGACGCCATTCCTCCCGACGCTGCCGCAGAAGCCAGGGGTCTGGCTGGGTGAGCCGGAGTGGCCGGCTTTCACCAGGATCTCTGCCCCCCTGGAGGTCGGGCTCGCCCAGCTGTCCCTGTGCGCCACATCCTCGGCGTAGCAATGTGGGAGACTCCCCCTGCTGTGGTGCCATTTACTGGTAGCATCGATCCCATAGTCTCTGAAAGCCACCTCTCTCACTGATGGAACCTGTGTCAGCGCTGAGGACTGGTAAGGGTAGCTGACTGGGCAGGATGACTGGTTCTGAGTTAAATAGTGAGGGAGACCAGAGAAGTCCGCTCCGGAGACGTAATAAGTGCAGCTCGGTAGATACATACTGGAACCAGACATCCGTTCATCAAAATCCATATTCTGCAGCTGGGATCGCTCTATGGTAATAATCATCTCATTGTTCCTGCGCGAGGCTGCGCTCCAGCCACTTTGAGGCAGACTGATGGAGCAGAAACCCTTAGACGTACAAGCTGACGTGAGGGATCCATCTCCATCCATTCCTGAGGGCCAAAGCCATGTGACCACTGGCACAATATGACAAATAGCCTACGTCTCGACGTGTGTTGGCTATATGAGTCTAATAGTTTTGCAGCTGGAAAAGCCAATCTTTGCATATAGAAACGAGACAGCGCCGGGGGACTTTTAAGAGCATTTTGGACATTTTTTTGGAGGTCCGCATGTAAGGCCTACTGCTACAATCAGGGTTAACTCTTCCTGATTTACACGAAAACACAATGCATGTGCAGCTTCACACCAAGCTGTTGCACCGGCCACCTTTTTCTTAACCTTTTGGTTTCCACACAAAACGCCTCACCTCCCCTCTCTTCTAAACCCCCTGGAGTCCTTTTTTTGTTTGAGCAAAATGCAGAAATCTTGTGTTTGATCCAGCTTATGAGTTACTCATGCATAAAAATATCTGGAGAGCAGAGGATGCATGCAATCTATCTAATAGGCTATATAAAGACCAATCAAGGCCCATGTTCTAAATGCACTGTGGACTGGAGCGACAGGCGCATATCCCCTTTTGTCGCTGACATTTCTTTGGAGCATGACAACTAAAAAAAGACTACGACCAACTTCATGCAGCTCCGAATTTTACGTGAAGCTGCACAGGTCACAGAAATGATTATTCGACGTAAAAGTCCAAATCAATGGATGATGAGGTGATTATCTACGTGGTCATGGCAAAGCTTGAGTTTCACGTTCAATGCAGACGGTCATGAGCTATGAATAACAGAGACAGAGAGAAGGCTGCCACGCTCTCTCTGATTGCAACGCCCCGATGTAAACCTTTGGACACGGCATATTTGCCTCAAACAAATCCCTTTGTAATCGTCATTGCATGTCAAGTATGCATAGTTAATGCGGATACATCGCAATTCTGTTTTTTATTTTTTGGGTTTTATTTTTTTGCGCAAAAAAAAAAAATCTCTCAGATCTGTCTCAAGATATCTTTATGTTGGTATACTGCTACTATTTTATTATTGTAATTTATTTTATGCTGACATTTAGAGGGAATAAAACTTAAAATTTGGTTTTAAAAAAAAGTCTGATTGCTTTAATGTTAGAAGTTTCTGATAAAAGATGGAGTATGATTTCTCAGCTAGTTTCCTGCAAACAATGGACTAAAGGGTCTCAGATCGGACACTCCAGCCTTTGTAAGGAATGTTATAAAAATCGTTGAAACGCATGATAAAAACGTACAAGCAAAATTAATCTTTAGAACGCAGATAAAGATCTTGTTTGTTTATTACTAGTTTATTCGCTAACAAATGAAAAAAAATCACACAAGCCCATGAAATTACATTAAATAGATTCTTTTTTTTTTTTTTTTTTGCAGGCTTACACTTTTTAATTCAACATAATTTAAGTGTAATAGTAAAGCAAAAAATACTAATAGCGAGTTTTGATGTTTATAAAAAAAAAAATACCAAATTACAATACAATACAGTATGTCCTCGCTCTTTTTTCAGCCTTTTTTGTTATAAACTGCCCCCCAAAAAACACGTTTTATAAGACTGGACATTTTAGTAAAGACAAATAAATAATAACTTGTTAATTTTTCTAAACCTGTCTTTGTAAGTAAAAAGAAAAACAATTCATATAAGCTGAAACAAAGCAATGCGTTTAGCCTGCCTATAATTATACTATTAGCACTTAAGTCCTTTATTCTGCTGCAGTAACTTTGTTTTACAGTAGAGACAAACTGGTTTTATAGTCTAAGAGGGGGGAAAAAAATCTGCGCAGGAAAACAAAAGCTGAATGGGAGGCATTATAAAAACGAAAAACACAGGAGAAAAGGAACTGACAAATACTGTGGGATACTCAGATGAAGTGAGCAAAAATAAATTAGGGGAAAAAAAGTAAACAATGCCAAAAAATTAAGTGTAGGCCTATCAGATAGATCAGGTGAAAGATAAATGAAGGAAACATCAGGCGTAACAAAGTTCACGTTTTATGGTGCAGATTTATTTCAGAGGCTATTTCTTACTATTGACTGGTAATTATAAAACACTGAAATACAAGGTTTATTCCTGTGTGTGACTTTTGTCAGTTTTTTATGAGTATTTATTTTGTGGGAACATCTTTCTAGTCAGTAATTTATTTTTATACTTTTTTCTCTCTAAACAGTGATAAAAACGTTTTGTATCATCTATTTTTATGTGAAGAGATTCGCTTTTAGCTGCAGTCCAGTGAGCAGGATCTCCTCTAATAAACAAAGGCGGAAAGCATTAATAAGTCAGCCACGTTTTTGTCTGAAGGGTCTAACACTGTTTTTGTGATTTCATATTGCAGCATATTAAGCAACTTTTACATTATATATTTGTGAGCTTCTCAGTTTTGAAGGCTGTCCCCTTGGAATAGAAAAAAAAGATAACCTACATGTGTAAATAACTAGTAGATGTGGTTGAGAAAAGAAAGGGAGAAATATGTTGACTTTAAAAACATCTAGAGTTGATCAAAATGACAAATCAGTTCCCCTTTCTACTTCCTTTTTAAGTAAATTTAGAGCAGTGTATACATGTAAATAAATAATTAGGTAAAATAGACGATTTTCAACATTTTCTTTAAGAGAAAGCGGTTGACCTTATAGCCATATTAATGGACGCGATGTTTGGAAGGGAGATGCAGTTACATCATTCACCAGTAGAGGGAGCAAAGACACAAAACAATATCAGCAAAGTCAAAGTGCCATTGTGACGTCAAGACTTATGGTTAAGCGCTAAAGATGCATTGTTTAAAAAAGGGTCATCTAATAAAAAAATTATTTATTAAAGATGAAACGTCCTCCGTGTAATTCTAATAGAGGAGCATTAAAATGCATTCTCACCAAAATGGGATAAAGATCATCCTTATTTTAGATGACGTCACACATAAACGCTTAGTTTAACAGTGTCACCCCCCGATATAATTTTACATTGGCTGATGTTATCTTTATTCATGGTTTACATTTATTTTTCTTTTAAATAAGGCTGTGGATTAAATAATTAATGGGTTTTTTTTCTATACATTTTTATATAGAGATTCCCCCCACTTACAGGAAGCAACATATGTCTCAGTTAAGAGATAAAACGAGCCAAATACTAACACATATTTTGTGTGTTAGACCAAAAAAAAAAACGCAATTAAATAAGTATAATTAATAATATGGTTACAAGCAAAGGAAAAATATCCGATGACAGACTAAGTTTACTTATAAAGCTTTATTTAGAGCTCCTTTCGTTCTGTTGTCATTTCTTCCTTTACTATTTTTACCCCTTTGAATCACTTTTATCTTCTTGGTTGTTTGGCAGATTTGATGGATCTTTAAGCTACAAAATATCAACTTATTCATATTTATTTAAATGTACTTTTATGTAATTTCAGAGGGCTGTGTCGCTTTTCCCCTGGTTAAAGTTTTACAATCAATACATTAGATGTTTTTCCAATGAGGCTCGTTTGCCGGATTAAAAACACCTTTCTAAGAAAAAAAAAAAAAAAACAATATCGCTTAAGTAGACATTCTAAAAAAAAATCCCCCCCATTTTTACTACACATTTTGTGAAAAACAGTGTGAATGTAAAAAAATATATATATTTCTTAGACAAATAGGCCTACATTTGTGTGATAAAATGTATTTTTATTTTAATATTCTCATTTTAAATAGTGTGTTTTCCTTAGGAACGAGAGGAACTCACAATAATTAACAGAAAGATAAGCTTGAAAATAAATATCAAACAAGGTTGAGTTCATATAACACTACTGATAACTACTGTAGACCAGTAATTCTTGCTCCCGTTGCCATTTCGCACCTTTGCTGCTCTGGAACTCTGTACAGTGGGCAACTCTTAACAAAGTCGGTGGAGTGGCGGCCCAGTGTTTAGGGCACAGAGTTGAAAATCCTGAGTTCTGGGTTCGAAACCCACTCCCACCACTCTAACCCTAACCCTCAATTTGAGCATCCCCTTCCTGCTTTATGTAATGTCTGAGGCCATGCAACCATATTTCAACGCATTCTTCCCTAAAGCAAAGAGGAAAACATCCTTTAAAAATAAAAGCTGCAGAAACGTCTATGAAACGTCGGGTACGAAGTGACAAATTGAGCAGCATCCAACAGAAGCAGCTATAGATTAAAGATCTGAAGAAGAAAAAAAAACTGCGCTTACAAAGAATCACCACAAGATGGCAGCACAGTGTCTCTGAAGCCACGACTGGGAGCTGAATGCAACTAACGCAACCCATTTATTATTAGATTATAACAGTCATATTTTCATTTGGAACCAAAACTTCAATCATTTAATATGACAAAAAACAAACAAAACAAAAAAAAGAAATAAGAAAAGAAAAAAAACGTGACAGCAGCTTTCAGTTTATTGTCCAAAAAGTTGACTTGTGAATAAAAGAAACAGGAAAATCACTTGGTTGCTCAGAAAATATTTACACTTTATGTGAGATTCACTCGTTTTAGGTAAGCTACTGTTAATTTGAATGCTATATATATATATATATATATATATATATATATATATATATTCTTTTTTTTATGAGGGCTAATTAAGTGGGCCTTTTTGTTTTAGACAACCTGATTGATAGATCCTTTAATCAACCGTGGCGCCACTGAGGGGTGCCGACAAAGTTGCCAGAGGCCTCCTTCACAGTTTATCTTTTGGAAACCAAATTGAAGACAGAACAGAATGAGTGAACAGTGGAAATATTAAATTATATATAAATAAATATTTAATAGGGATGTCCGTTCTTCAGTTTTATAATACGCCACCTCAATATCTCCCTAAACATTCCCAACAGTTTCATGGGTTGAAATCTTTAAAAAAAAAATCCTAATTCTATAACCAACCAAGTCTTGATAAAGTTTTATTTAATAAGTAACTGAGAACGAGCACATATCCTGAAAGAAGTGGGTTTTTAAGAAAAATCAAATTTCACCAACAGGGATTGGAACCAAATATGCAATTGAAAAATCTTCTGACAGTCTGCTTAAGTCATTCCTCCCCACAGTCTTAAACCAAAACCTGTTACATTTATTATTCCATGCGCTCCTCATGGGGAAAAGAAAAATGCGCACAATTTTCCGCCGTTGAACCCCTTTAATGCAGATGATGAACACTGAGTCATTCCACACAAAATCGCCCCAAACTCTTATCACTTCCGACCTTCCACGAACAGGCCCCACGGAATGGTTCCAATTAAAACGAGGAAGGAGAAGTTATAGTTCAAACCAGAGCCGCTCTGGGGAGACTGTGTAACAGTTCATAAATGGAATAAATTATAGCACAGTTTTCTGTCTTTTTTTTTCTTCTTTTTTTCACCTCTGATGAAAACGCACCCAACTCCTGGGAATGACTCCAGAGCTAAGTGGAGCTCTTGAACTTATTGACAACTTTTTTCTCCTTTACGCGCCTGTTCTGGAACCAAATCGTCACTTGTCTCTCTGTCAGGTTCGTCTGCGCGGATATTCGCCTCCTTTTGTCCTTGGTGATGAATTTGTTGGTGGCGTACTCCCTCTCCAGTTCTTTAAGTTGCACCTTAGTGTATGGTACGCGTTTCTTTCTTCCACGGCGGACTGAATTGTCCACACCACCGGATAAAGAGTCTGGAAAGAAAAAAAAATCAGTATTAAAATCAGAAATAATTGCAGCAATACAAGTTATAATGAATGATTTTTGAATGAATCACCTTGTAATGAGGATTTCCATAGAGAGTTTGCCTGCGTCTGTTCCTTGGTGCAGTAAACCTGTCCACTCCACCCGTTGGTGATGGTCCAGGGCTGATAGGGCTCCATGGGCAACAGAGACTCTCTTGGCTCCGATGGCGCACTGAGTGCAGGGACCACCGGCACATCCAGGTAGCTGGGCTGATAGGGGCTGGAGGAATAACCCTGGTAGAAGGCAAACTCCTTCGCCCGGGTGGAGAACTCCTCACCTGAAACTGAGGAGTCCACGTATTTGTCTCCATAACCGGAGGGCTGAGAGCACGCCTTGACGCCGCCGTGTGACACCCTGCACGGGTAATAACCGCTGCCAAAGTATCCGTAGGGCAGAGAGGCGTTAGGTGAGCTTTGAGTTGCAGAGCAGGGGCTGCACTGTTTGCCAGATTCCCCCACGCTGGACACTGGCCCCTCGCTGGGAGCATAGGTGGTGCTGGGAGCCAGAGAGGTCGGATGCGCCAAAAGGTTCCTGCACTGGTTCGCTGCGAAGTTCCCACCGGTGAAGCCTTCCATGTTCTTGCTTCTCTCCTCCTGTGCGCCGCCGTCGTAGAGGAACATGACTGGGTCGATCCAGGGCGAGCCGAGGAGTAACGAGGCGGTCATAGCATGTCCTACATGGGAGGAGAGGAGGTGAGAGTAGAGGAGAGGCTCTTTTTCACTAATCCCCTCGACTGAGTTGAGACAGAGACCCGGGGCTGAGTAACGATCCCAGCACAGCAGAGGGCTCCGGGATCGGGAGGTTATTGGCCAGGGTTAAACACGTGATATGCAAAGGAGATGATAAACGTCTCTGCATCTGATAATGCAGACAGGGCAACATGTTTGCACAGACGTTGGCCTCTTCAACATTGTGCCAAGATGCAGTTTTTTTGTTGTTGTTGTTGTTTGTTTGTTTTTTTTGGAATTAAAACCAGTTTTTGAAATTCATTCTAACTGAAACGTTTTATGCTTGTTACTATATGATTACAATGATGCAGTTTATCATTATTGTGTCATAATTGAAAATAAAGCGTTTTTCGCAGAAATATAGTGCCATTACGCACGTCATTTAGTCCTAATATTGAGGGTAAATGTGCAATACGCTAAACTGTTTCAGATTACGTGTAGGATTATTTTTCGACTGGGTTAAATATGTACTTTATAGACATATCTGGTCAAACAAACACCTCCACGTTACGCAGAATTACGCACTGATAAGAAAGGTTTGCCATTTTCTTATATCAAGCAGCAAACAATGCACGTGATGTTATGGCTTTAGTTGTTTTTTACTGCATTAAATACATTTCAGTAGTTTTATAAATGTGTCTCAAGTACAGTTTTGCGTTTTTATATTTCATTATTATTATTTTATTTGAGATTTTACAACATGTCAGGTCGTAGAAGCGAGATGTTAAACACCACAGCATGAGTGAGACATAAAAAAAAACACTGCGGCACTAAATCTAAATAAAAATCAAAGGGTAAATAATATTTTATGCATCTTTTTGCAAAAACAATCTATTAAATGCAAACGTGTATTCTGCTGGACCATAGACAGAGAAAGTAACACTACTTGTATAGATTAAAAACGAATTAGTCTTTTTCTTACCTTCTCAGTGAATTCATTAACTAAATATTGATACAATTCTGGCACACATATTGTCTTTACTGCATTCTTTAAAAGAAGATTGAAATTTAAACCATACAAAGCGAACTGTCATCTGATGATAAAATAGTCCAAATCATATATGCATTTAATAGTTCATGTAATGCCAATTTCTTACTAGTCATAAGAGATACCGGATATCTAATAGGGACTGGGTTTCAAAGAAGTCTATGCACAAAGGCTTTTTTTCTGTTTTGGATCTGATTACAGGCTCTCACACGACTTTTAATGTGTATTTATTACAATTATTGTAAGGGGGAGGGCCCAGAGCCTGTAGATTGTAGGCCTGCAGCAACAAAATCCTCATAAGAAACTGAAATATAAAAGGCTACTCTATTTTTTTTTTTTTTCTGTGAGATTGTAAGAGTGGAGGCAGGATGAGAGTGTAAACAAGGGACATGGTAGACCCCCCCATCCCCCCATCCCAGACTGGAGGCCAAGGTCAAGTTGAAAGTTGCAGTCCAGCCAGGGAGGAGAATTAAGTTGCAGATTACAGATTATTTAACTAATTTAATGCAAACTCTCCTCTTTTGGATTAATTAAGGGAACTGTGATAAAAACGCGCAAGTATAAAATGTGACTCAAATTGACTCCTGGATAATTGTAGTGATTTCTGTGACTGTTTTTTTTTTTTTTTCCCATTTACGTATCTACCAAGTTAAAGAAATAAAAAAAGAAAGAAACGACAGAAAAGAAAGGCTCCACGTGGAAAAGTGAGACAAAAGTGAAAAGATAATTTAGAGATGGATTAAAACCTGTCGACTTAAAAGTGGTTTTACGGCGCTTTCTTTTTCCAGGGAGCTCAAACGCAGGGCCAGATAAATGCGAGGAGCCATTTTTATTTGAATGGAGTTTTCCCACCTTTTGAGGCTGTAAATCTTTATAGCCTGAGTTCATAGCTTTCCGGCTGTAAGGAATAGCCTACATTTCAAGGAGAGCAAAAGGGATGTTTTTTCATTTTATTTAAATTTTTTGTATCGATTTAGTTTTGAATAAAAAGAAAAGCGCCTTTTAATTCATTTAAACTTAAAAAATGGTGCATGGAAGTTGTTCATTAAAGTTGTTAAGCAGCATTTGTCTGAGATTAGTTTTTGTTGTTGTTGCTGTTTTAAACGAAAATTTTATAGTTGATATCGAACAGAAATGGTTGCGCAAGGTTTGCATCGGCTCGAAGATTAATTGACTTTGGAGACTTAATTCCATCTAAATCCATCAACATATGAGCACCGATAATATGAACGGTCTCATTTAAAACATTTTATCATCCCTGGTGGATATTTTGGAACAATTAAATGTAATACATCAATGGAAATATATGAAGAAATGCATTAATTATTAAGGAGAAGTGTTTCTTTTTTTTTCTTTTTTTTGTGAGCCACTGGTTTAGTCTCGTAGGTTTTCTTTTTAAGTAGCCTAGATATTCACTGAAAACTGCAGTTGATTAAGGATACAGACAATAATGTAATTTAGTTATAAATGTTACCATAATTCATACAGTATGCATATTTTTATTGGAGTGATTAGGATTAAGCCTGTATATTTTTCCCGTTTCCAGGGGGGGGAGATTAGATCATGATAAACATACAGATTTTGGAAGTAATAAAGAAAAATAAAATTAGATAAATGTATATTTCTAAACATCAAGAACTGCATAATCTGTGCTAAAAATACAAAGAGTTATGGTAAGCTTTTTGTTTTTTAACCTTTAAAAATATTTTCTGTGAAATTAACTTTACAGTCAAAGTCTAAACACGTGATATCAATTTACAACTTAAATTGCGTGTTTAGTTACAAACCATATAGCTAGACCAAGGCAAATGCAAACAGGGTGTTCATTTTGGGGCCCCCAAAAGAGCTTCACCCTGCATGTTTGGTTTGAGCCTTAACAAGAAAAAAATAAAAAAATAAAATTATATATATATATATATATATATATATATATAATTTTTTTAATGATATAGATATTTAAACGCTATTTCATTCTATGGACATTTCAATAGTATTTTTGCTGGATTCACATTTCCTGTACTGTAGACTAATCCAAAAAGAAATTCCAACTATGAAGATTTTTATGGCGCATATCAGCTGCAGTTTCTTTTAGATGCCCCACACCAGCTCTTACACACATAGACACCTCCCTTTAAACATTTAGAACAAAGGCATTTTTGATTTGTTGATATATGATGGATGCACATTAGAACAGATACATAGAGGTTTCAGAGGTTACAACATCCTTGATCCTTGTTAAACAATTCATCTCAGGTTTTACTTTTCAACATGTTTTACTTTAACTGAAAACATACTCAGACACAGTTAGTAGACTTTCTGAAACCGTCAAGGAAATATCATGATGTCCCTAATTTATACACTGCTATTGTGCTAAGAACTGTAAACTAGAACTGGGCAAAAAAATTATGAATTAATTAAAGTCACCATCTAAAATCCACCTATAGGAACGTAAATGTCATTACGAAAAACAAAACGGCAATCGATTTCATATTATTTTGTCTTTAACAGAGCTCTGAAAAAAAAATGCATTCCAATTTCTACAATGTTTTTAATACTTTAGTTTGTTTACAAGAACAATTCTGGGAGAGATTTGGACTTGCCTGCAAAACGTCAAAGGAAATGGTCCAACACATTAATCCTCTAAAGATCTACAGTGGTTGCAGCTTTACATAGAGAGCTGCAGAGCAAACTGGGGAAGCATTCTTCTGCTTAGTCGTTAAGCATATCGTTATACAATTTTCAAAAAGTCCAAACATTATCAGCAAAAGAAGAGTTTTTAAAGAAAAACTCAGTTATGCCACGGAGTGCAAAGGCTTACTATAAAATGAAGCTGCTAGGGCTTGACGTGCCATAGCGGCAGCAGATGAAGTGTGTGTCACAATCTGCTGGAGGCCTGAGACCAAAGTGCTGCTCTGTTTAAGCAGATGACAGCACAGCTCTTAGCCTGCAGTGCTTAATGGACTTTTTATGGATCCGTCTTGTGATCGCATGACCCATGGCACCTTGGCCTCTGTAGATCAGAAACATGCCGCAGTCCTCCTCTGGCCGACACGTGTTTTGTGTGTGCAATGCTACAATGCATGCAGCTATTTTTCCAGCTTTTAAACAATTGTATAAAAAGCTTCTATAATCACTCTTATTGTAGACAAACACGAATGAGGTACCTGTCTGAAGGAGTGTGGGGCAACACATTCACTATTAAAAATGTTAATCTTAAATGCAAACATTTAGGATAAAATACAGGCAATATGCATTTTTAGTAATAGTTCAGTCCCATTCTTTGCAATAATAAAAGTAATAAGTTCATTTAAAATGATTAATAAAATAGAAGTCCAATGTTTATTTTATTTGAAAAAAGAAAATCCTTATAAAAACTTTCCTTAATTCCAATATTTTCATTTAATGAGAAAAACAGGGAAAAAGGAGAAACATTTTTTGATACAAGCTCAAGGCTGAGTAATTTGTGTTTATTCTCCAAAAGGACAATACTTTCAAAAGTAACAAATCGAACGTGAACAGAAAAACCTAATGTTAAAACACGATAAATATGTAGCGACTAGAATCAAGCTGTAGTTGTTCAGCCTTCACAGAGTAATAAAGTAAAAAGTTTTCAGATGTTCCTTTGCATGGAAATGACAATTCACATGAGACGATAACAGAAAGGAGTGTCTCATACAAAAAAAGGCTTAATCATAGATGAAATTTAGCTCCCGACATTACAGAAGTGCTCAAGTTACCCATCTCTGTGCTGAGGCTCTCTAGAGCTTAATGTTTTCCTAACTTTGGGCCAAATAAAGTCTCTGTGTCAAAATACACCCTAACTACCTGCTAAGTTAGTGCTGTGCAGGGCGAGGCACATGGCAACGTTGTGGACGGGAAGGGGAAAGCTAATGCTACTGGCCCTCCTCCTCACGCAGGAACTGGAACACAGAGGAGAAGTCTTTATTGGCGTAACCGCGTGCACACATCATACGGTAGATCTGATGGGCTAAGGAGCCGAGGGGCACAGGAGTCCTGGTGTTGGTGGCCGTGTTCTGTGCCAAGCCCAAATCCTTAGAAAGAAAAAAAAGAAATGTAAACATACATGAGAAAAACCAATTGGACTTAAAACCTCATTCAGAAAATAAAACCACAAGCCGAAACAAACTGCATCATTCTTTCTGAGAGGACTAATGGCCAACATGAATATTTAAAGTGTTTTTTCAGGAATAAATTAAGTTAAATTCCTGAAAGTGCTTTGAAAAACTAAATGAGACATCAACAAATGTTTTACTCTTATGCAAAAGTATTTTTTGTAAATTGGTTTGGAAACGTACAGTGATAAATTGTTTTTTTTAAATGCTGCAAGGTTGAGTTATGGGTTTGACCCACAGATAAGAGTATATTTTAAAAATCACACAAAGGCTTACAATCCTTATATGTAAAGTTTATGATAGCTATGATTATATGAATATAAAAAAAAATAAGTTTGTTTTTATATACATATATGTTACCAGTTTAACCCCCCCCCCTTTCCTATTTGTGACAGTTTAGTATATAAACTGACCTTAGCCATCAGCTGTGTGCCAAAACCTCCCTGGTAGTTGTTTCCAGACGGCACTCCTTCCATCACCCCTGGCACAGGATTATAGGTGTCACTGGACCAACAGCGGCCTGAACTCATGTTTAATATTTTGGCCAAAAGTTTGGGATCTAGTCCAAGTCTATGGATGAAGAGTAAAGGTATCAGGGAATCATGCTTAAGGTGCTTCAGATAATACTTTGAAATCATTTAAATGTCGTAATTTATTCCTACCTGATCCCCAAGTTCATCGTCTCTGAGGTCCCAATCATTCCTATGGCCAAAAGCATGTTGTTGCAAATTTTTGCAGCCTGTAATCATATGAGCATATCAATGAATTAAAAAAAAAAAACAGTTTATTGGTATTTATAAAAACTGAATTCCTATTCGATAAAGATAGTTTTTTGTTTGTTATCGAAAAACTGTTTAAAAAAACAAAAAACTTTGTGAAGGTGAACAAAAACCTGAAATGTAATCCCACCTGTCCCGTTCCAACTTGACCGCAGTAAACCACATTAGCTCCCATGCAGCTGAGAAGCTCTTTGGCTGCAGTGAATTCCTCCTCCACTCCACCAACCATGAAAGTCAGTTTACCTGAACTGGCAGCCCCCACACCTAAAGAAGAAAATCAAAGTATGTTAGCACATATTGCTATAACAATTGAGCTCATTGTAGGAAATGTCTAATAGATAATTTAGTCTGATATTGGGTTTATTTAAACACTTTTTTTTATTTTTTTTATTTACGAGACTCTTAGACCAGACCAAACCGTACCAGAGAGCTCAATATCTCTTCTTAACTGCTTAGACTCATTTTATACAATTCGAACCAGCTGAAGATAAAGACAATTTTAGTAACACACAAGAAAATAAAAAGAGAAAAATATCAAAAGAATTGTTTGCAGAATGTAATAACCCTCTATAAAAAAAAAAAAAGCCAACAAATTAAAACCATACAGACAGAACACCGAGGGTAATGTCATTTTGAGCAAAATTCATAACATGTGCCCAGAAAAGACATGGTATACATTGATAGTGTGTACATAAATATATATTTTTTAATTTAATTGGTTAAAGCTGAAATGTCAAAAAACATTCAGAAAAAGTGTCAAAGTATTGCTTTTATTAAAATAATTAAGTAGTACTACAGTTCTAGTGCTAAAAAAATTACCCTTATCTACTATAATAGCCTTCAGTTTAATGGAGAAAAATAAAGGTCAGTTATTTTGACTTAGAAGCACAGATTGTTATAGAAGCATTAAACTGAAAAGACTGATCTAAATCCTAATTTAAGAATATCTTTGATGTAAAAATAAGTTTCATGGAAAATGTAAAACAACCAAGGGTAACAGGATTGTTTTAAATATTCACCTACAGTCATTAGGATATGAGCCGACAGCCCTGTTTTTCTCTGTATAATATAAGATGTTTGAGTATGCAGCTAGAATTTTACTGGCCGAACAGATATGCTAACTCTGGTAGCTTGTTGCTATTTTGTATCTATACATCAGTTCACTACACATGGCCTGACAGGCTGTGTGCTATGCTACTGCAAATATTTAAACCCAGTTTATCTTTTTGAAACATGGATAAAGGGCCTAGAAAGTTCCCTCATTTGGTCACTATACACATCTGACAGCTTACAGCAACATGTGAGGGAGAAGGACTATTCATATTTCCAATTAAAGCAGAGAAAAGTTAGACATGCAAGTAAAAATGTATTAAAAAAGGAGCTGAAAGAGGAGGAGCAGTATGTTGTAAAATATAAATGCTCTTGATAACCTTCTAAAATGATGGAGACCAGTCAATGCCTTGTTAGAATCCATTTGTATGTTTGGGAAATAACTGAACACTTGATGTAATTATGCATGCTCGCATGTCAAAACACAAAACCACAGTCTGGCGCATGAAAAGAAAATTTGACTTCATCTGTTCTCACGCTGTTTTTAGCCTCCATTTAGATGTGGGAACAGCTGTTTCTGGTTCAGGTTCATACAGGGTTAAAATCTTGACACCCTACAATCACCAGGTGCAAAACATATGGGTGCCAAAGAGTTAGCCAGCACAGTCTTATTATTAATCCTTACATTTACAGGAAGCCAGTGGAGAAGTGCCAAGGTAGGTGTTAAAAGTTTCCCCTTCCCTAATCCTCACACAAAGACAGCTCCAAGCATTTTGCATTAATGGAGAGAAACAATGAGCTAAGTGTTACTGAAAGCAGCCCAGATACAAAGTAAATGATCGACTACAGCTTCAGGTTTTATCCTCAACATCTACCATAAAAAAGAACCACCAGAGTCAAAACATCTACAAATGAGAGTTTAATTTATATCAGAGGGACAGATGAAAAGCCTTTGGGACATTCCATACAATAAACATAGCAGGGGTGAAAAATATGCTAAAAAACAAATAATTGTATGAGAGACACACTACAATTAATCAGAATAAACAGGATTACAGATGTGACAAACTTCCACAGGATAATTCTGGGAGAACAGTTCAAATCTATAAAAGTGGGGAAACAAGAAAATGTCGGAGTGACAGCGTACCTCTCAAGTCATATATATCTTTAAAAATATTCAATAAAGAAATGTGTCTTAGGTAAAGTGTAGTTAGAAACATTGGAGCAGCAGTTAATGCAGCACTAAGTACTTTAAAGGGTTACACCGTTTTTTTTTATACATTGGGCCCTTGATTTTACGTTATTACATCATGTTCTATTTACTCATATGAGTTTTGTGTCATTTGGAGCCGTTCTAAAGATATTCCGTTATGTTATATCCAAGTAACGTCCTCCTATGGGCAAGGACTTGAAAGAACAAACTAAACTGTTCATAGTTTATTATTTATGGCATGCCAGCATTCATAACATGTAGGCAAATCACTGTCCCCCAGACATCCGCTGTTATATTTTTATATATTTTATTTTATTTTTTAAACAAAGCGGCACGTGTATGACGTCAATAGTGCCGGACTGGAGTAGTGACAGGCAGCCCGGGCCACAGGCGGCTACGCTCTTCCCCTTCTATTCGTTCGGCTAGCTAATCTAGCTAATCTGAATCGTTTAATTCCATTTCGAGAGCGAGATCATCTGTGGTAGTAGCACTAGACATCTTCCAGGCATGTGAGTAAAACTAGCAGCAGTTCAGCGGACAGGATGAATATACGGTAGCCGGCGGGCGCGGATGACGTCATACACACGCCGCTTTTAAAAAAATATATATATATATAAATATAAAAAATATAACAACTGCGGATGTCTGGGGGAAGACGTTATTTGGATATAACCTATTGGAATATCTTCAGAACGGCTTCAAATGATGCGAATTGCACACAAATTGCATTTAGCTACCTTTCCATTGGCAAAAAAGCTGGGTCTGACCCAAAGCTGGCAAGCTGCGTGGCCTCTGTCCCCTGCAGCTGCATGTTTTGTGACGCCACCACACTGGGTCAATGTTGATGTCACCAGTGTGACAGAACCCAGGAATGTAAACAATGGAAAGCAACATGGAAGGAAGCCAGGGCGTAGTAAGTTTGCCTTGTTTTTTGGCTCTTTTGTCCTTCCGAATCCCTCCTTTCAGTGCTGTTCCATGTTTATCGAAAGTAAGCAGTGTTAGTCGGATGTGACTAGCACGATGTTGTGACATCTGTTTATTGTGCTAAATTAGCGGTTCTAACGTACCCCCTGTAAAGGAGCTAAGACA